AAGTTCTGTGACCTGCAATGTGTAGGAGGTCAGACTTGAAGGCCAGAAGGGGCCATCATGATCATCAAGTCTATATGCCTTATCCAATTTGCCAAAAATGGAGGGCCATAGCTATAGACAAATGGGTCTTACAGATTATTTATGGTAGCTATCTGATGCCTCCTACCCCCAAACCTCCTTCCTCGTTCCTTTTCAGGGATCACTCTGATAAGATTCTACAACAATAGATTAACTCCCTTCTCCTCAGGGCAGCTGTAGAAGGGCTGCCAGGGACAGGGGCTGAGCGTGCTGGAGGGGGCAGGCGCAGCAGGAGGACACAAAGCTGTGTCTGTAGGCCCATGCCTGTGTAAAGCAGTACTTCATACAAGGAGGTGTGGACAGGCCACCACCCAGTTCCTTCTGAACTGCCTGCAGCTCGAGATGGAGTGATTACATGTCTGCTGTTTCTCAGCTGCTTGACTTTCTTAACATAGATATTTATAGTTTTTCCTCTATTTGTTTAGTTATCTTATTTCTTTTTCTTTCAGTCCTCTGGTTTTGGTTCATGGAGAGTGTAACGCTTTCCTTCGGGGAACCTAAAACAGTGAGCCATGGTTACAACTCTCTGCCTTAGCAAGAGAGCTTTGCTGGAGCTTAGATGGTAAGACAGTGCCCTACCGCACCAGTCTCTCCACCTCACCAGCAAAGTCCTTGAGACCCTGTTACCTGCAAAGCAAGGTTAAGACAGGCAATCAGTGAACCCCAGTTCCTGAGGGACATCTCTCTGTAGCATTCAGCCCTTCTCAGGGGGCCTTCACAGAAATTAAGTTAGCTGCCTCCCAAAAGGCTGTATTTACACCACTCTGTTAGTTCAGCTGAGGTCCTACACATGAATATACAGCACTGACAGGGGTTTGTAATAAAACAGGAATAAGTTTATTAATAAACAACACAGATTTAAGTGACACCCAGTAAGAATAAAAGAGAAAAAGGGTACAAACAAAATAAAAAGAACACGCTTTCTCGAGCTTAAAATTAATTTCTTTGCCTAAACCAGTTTCTCACTTACATCAATGTAATCAATTACACTACTATCATCTCCTGCCCTCAACGCAGGAGGCGCCAACATTTACAAAATCAGAGGATATTGTCCCCATTTTCCCCTAAATTATAGATAAGCAGACTGGGAAATATAAGGGGAACAAAAAAGACAAAAGTCCATTGTCATTGCCTCAAGAGCCAGGAATACTTCTTGGGGATTCAGACTGCTGTGTCCCCATGTGCTCACCAGGCTGTTTCCTCCACTGCTTGTTAGCTTAATTGCTTTGTTTTCCTTATATGTAAATGTAATTTCATTATCTATGGTTTACAACCCTGGACACAGACAGGTAAATCCACATTCCTTTGTCTAAGCCAGGTATGCTTGTTTGTTCACTGCCTCCAAAACATACTTTAAGAACATATTTCTAGAGTGTGTGCACACAATTCTCTTTACACAACCCATATGTACTTCAAACAATGATATTCATGCCCAGTGGGTCACCAGATTATATATGATAATTTACAAGTGGGTTTGTCAATTTCTTTCATTAGCTCAATCCTTCACCAGGGATTGGGGTGGGAAAAGAAGTGCAATCTTCCCTGAGAGAAAATCGTGTTTACAACCTTCAGGTTTCCCTAGAGAGGTGCAAAGTACCATCCAAGATCTTCCCTTTGATACGATCAACCTATTACACAAGAAGATGGATGAGTCTCTTCAGTGAAAATTGCCCTACCAATCAACAAGGCTTTGTTATCACCTGCTTGCATAGTCTGGCAAACATCTGCCCCTAGTCAGCCCCCCTGTAAGCAGACAGATAAAATACTATATTCCAGCCCAGAGAATAGAGCACTCCTTATAAATATTCTGACAGCACCCTCCAATGGAGTAGCTATAGTGAAAGATGTTCCCATAACAGAAATTTGTAGGACTGCAACTTGGTCTTCTATTCATACCTTTGCCATGCATTATATCATCTTACCTGCTTGCCAGGATGATGCTACCTTTGGTGTCACAGTCCTTCAAAACCATCTTGGACTTGCCTCCTCAGCATCCACCTCCTTGTTCTGTTTGTGGTTGGGAATCTCCTATGGTAGAGCACCCATAGGGACAGATGCTTGAAGAAGTAAAGGTAGCCTTACAGCAACTTGAGTTCTTTGAGATGTTTTGCCCCTCTAGGTGCACTCTAGCCAGAGGTGTCACTTGGGATATCAAGGGTAAAGTCTAATTGTTGGCATCCTTTCATCTACGAGAGATGGTGGGAATTGCAGCCTATGATGTAGATGGTTTGCAATGTCTCATGTGACTGAATAGTCCAATGATTCCCCAAATGTTATCATATTGTGTCAGCTGTGTGAAATAACTGGAATCGGGCCTATATGGAGGGGGCAGGAGGTAGAGTTTAGGGGCTGGGTATCTAGGGGTGTGCAGTGGGGTTGAGCAGTTTGGGGGGGAAGAGACACTACCACTGAGGTGAGACAGCAGTAGGGCAACTGTTGAGTTGGCTGGGTCAAGGGGGCATGGGGAAGGGCCTTACTGGATCCAATCCTAAAACCTGAAGTTGAATTGGTGGGTGGGACTGGCACTTTTCTGATTCATCCACCCTACTATGCACAGATGCCCCCACAGAGCCAGGCTGGACCCTTTGTTCCAGCAGATACCTGGTATTGAGTCAGCCTGGCCCCCCACATTCTGCCTCAGGTGTTACTAAGAAATGGTGACAGAGTTCAGGCTCTGCAGTAAAAAAAAGGCCTGGCAGGGGCAATGCTGTTCCCAGCCTGTCCCCCCCCCTGGAGCCAGCACCTATACAGCCAGCTCCTCAGCATCACTCCTCCCACACAGCCAGCTCCACATCCTAAATTAGCATCTCCCCTACAGGCAGCATATGGGGAGCCCCACCGCTGAGGCAGTGCTGCCCCTGCCAGCTGGCACCACTAACACCCTGAGCTCCTCTGTTGCTGCACTTTCTTTATGGGCAGGGGGAGATCTGTCAGCTCGGCAACACTCTACCTCTGAGGCTGGAGTAGCACTACTAGCCAGGGGACACATGTTACTGAATGTGGTGGGAGTGAGGTGAGAGGGCTAAGGGCTTTGGCACTCTCTGTCTCCCACCTCCTCCTTAGGGTACCCCTGGCTTTATCTCCTGCCCTCCTTCCCCTGGGCTCTGGAGGCTCTGCTTTGCAGTCAGGGAGGAATGGAGTGGAGGTGTGTCCGGGCCTCCTTACATGCCCTTTTTGTAGGCATGGGATGCTGCTCTGTGCAGGCCTGCAGATGCCACTTTGCCCATGGGCATGTCTGTCCTCGGCCCGGCATCCCTAGGTCCAAACCGTCTGGAAGAACTCAAGTTAGCGTGAGGTGAGGAGTAACCTCTCCTTGCTGCCACACGGCCAAGAGCCCCAAACAGGGAAGGGCAAAAAAGCAGGTGAGGAGGAAGAGACCAACCCGGCTGGGAGCAAAGGGGTGAAGAAGGTGGGAAGAGAGAAGCTGCCCTTACACCGGGCTGGAATCATGCCTTGGAGAATGCCAGGCG